TTAGTCCTTTTCAATGTAACTTTATTAAAGTGACATAGTTTTGGGGTATTTTTCTACCTAATTTTTTGCAATACAGACTAATACCCACTTTTGCGATATATATATATATATATGTAGGATCCACTTACACACAAGTGTTACACGCCATAAACAAAATCTCAACCATTGAAAGTGGAGAGATGAATGGTTGAGAGTTTGTGTAAGTATGGTGTGTAAGATTTGTGTGTAAGTGGATCCCTCCTCTCTCTCTCTATATCTATATATATACATACATATATACAACACTTCCATCTATAAACTTTGTGCAGTTGAATCTATTTACAAACTGAAGACTCACTCTTTACCAATGAAATTGGAGAAGCTCCAAAATTACTACAAAATAAGTGACTCATTTTCCAAATAAAAGTCGCACAGAAATGAGTATACAGAAAGGTTGAAGTTGCACATAAATGAAACAGTCTGCAAATTTACATTAAAAAAAAAAACCAATTATAGTACCTCAACAGATTCCTCTGGTGGCAGGGAACTTAATGCTCGCTCAAATAAAGCCCGGATATTTCTATCATCATTCAAACGAGACAAGAAATCTGCATATCTGCAAAATTAAGAACAAAACAATGGTGACTGAAACTGAATCTACATTACCTTTTAAGACGCGAAACTTAGTAAATTTGCATTATCCTTATGAGAAAAAGAATTTACAACATTTAGTCTAAGTATTGCAACCTTTTGCTTTCAGACTATATCCACAAATTTGCATGCCCAGTTAACATTTTGTTAACCTGTCAGTCATTTACATGCTTTATTTGTCAAAATCACCATGATGGTAACAAAATACCAGGTGGGGTTATTTAACAACTAAGATGTTATACTTTTACTTTTATGTCTGTTACAATGTTGAAAATATCATTCTAACTAACTTTTCACTTATGGAGAAAAGGGTCAAAAGAACATATATTTAGAGTGGCAGGGGGTGGCAATAAATCAATCCAAAATATCTTCCATCAATAAAAACAGGCATTATTGTACAACTTTTAACAACCCCAAAATAGTTGGGTGACATGATATCACCACACCTTACAGACAAGCAAGCTCCTCTAATCCACCCCGATTATAATAAAAGGATGCAAAATGTTGTTCATTTGAACATTTACTCTTCCATCAACAGCTAATTTTTTTGTTTAAATTGAAAATTATAACTTCCAATCAAACTAACTACTTGATGCAAGAACTAAAAGAGCACCTAATCACCTTCTTTTTTGATGCAATTTCAGTTTTAAACTAGAGTTTACCTTGAGTTATGTACAATATTATGTTTAGAGGCAGAATTGTGATTTTGCCATTTCAGCATCATTGGGTTGCCTATATATTGGTTTAAGCTTAGGTTATTTCATGAGTCATCAGGAGTTTAGATCTTATTAACTTTTTACTTCTTGGAGTCCTAGTTGGTTGTATAATTATTATTAATCAGTTTTTTATTATCTTTGGAAACCCAATCTCAGTCAGTTAAGAAATAACTTATTTAACACCTTGTTACATCAATTAAGGTAAACATGTGGACATATAATTAATATGGGTCTCCCAACTATAACCATCTAGAGATTGGATGCACTCTATCAAAATAGATCCTAGGTTATCCTTTTCAGTTTTCCCACCCTAACGATCATACTACCATCAACTCTTTTCTATCCATCTCACCCCTGGATTTCTCACTTTATCTGCTGATTATCACAACCACAGTTGCACTACATTCTATAGAAGGCTGTAAACCTTGATACTCTAACCCAAAAATACCCTAAGATCCTAGATTTCCCAAGCTGAAAGACCAACATGCAAGCCTGCAAACAAACTAATCAAACTCTTGTTTTTCTACATCACCATTCTATAAATCTGCTTCCCCAACAAAATTCTCTCTTAAATCATAAGACCTCCAATCTCATCAGAACTAACTCTAAAATTAAATAGGAAAAAAGAAAATAATGATGAAAATCCTATCACAGTTCTTCTGTTATAGTATTTCTGGTCTTGTAACATCACGAAAGTGTTATTGAATCAAATTCAAAAATTTTATTTTCATAATTACTGAGCAAAGAGAAAATTTTAGAATTTTGACATATCATTTTTTTCATATCAAGTCAATGTTATGCCCCCTCTTTTCTGTATTTTAGATAAACCTACCATGCATTGTGTGAATTTGGAATTAGGACCTTGTTAATACTAGTGATGTAACTTAAAACATGGAAAAAGATAACAGCCTACTATAGAAGAGATCCTTCCTCAAGATCATTATTCAATTTAGTATGAACTTGCCATTAACCACTACAAATACTCACACAATAAAATAACAAAGAATTGATGGTTTGACAAAGTTTAAACAATCCCCTTTGGAAATAAAAACGTTCCTTGTTCATACAGGTAGTCACCAAACAAAGGTTAAATAATGTTGAAGAAAAAGGAGCTAAATCTTGTATTAATCTGTGATTTACCAAGTAAAATTTGAGTACAAAATATTACTCATTTTAATAAGGAACAAGGGGTTTTTCCAATAATTAAAGATCAAGAACAATACATAAGTGAAATCACCTTAAGACATGTAATTAAAAATTTAGTAGAATGCCTTACTCAAGAACATATACAGGTTCATGCATAAAACGTTTCAATCCTGCTTCAAAAACATTGTGGGCAACCTGCATTACGTGAAACAAAAGTAATGAATGTTACCACGGTATTTTCATCACAAAATAGCAACTTGATAATGTATCGTGAATCAATATTTCTGTATTCAGTTAATTCTTGGGAGTTATGTCTTGATTACATTAATTCTGCAAATCAGGAGGCTTTTATAAGACCAAATTTTATTATTTAATTACTGGTTATGATTTTCCCCTATATTATCAATTATGAAAACATTACAAACATGGTAAAAGTAGCATGCCTTGCTGGAGGGTTGAATATATTTAACTAATGTTTAATTAATTAATAATTTCAATCAATTAATGGTATCAATCATTTATTTATTTAAGAATATAAGGGTGAAATGTACCATTCAGACTCAAATAGATGAATTTGGACTTATTTGACCAGATGAAGAAGTCTGAGTGCCTAATTGTCCATGAGAAGGTTAGAAGTTCAATTGATAATTTGATTAAAGCTTACCAATTTTATCCTTTTACACTATCATTAAGAAAATAAGACATGCAATAATCTGAAGCTGTTGACGTTACTGGGAAATCTAACAAATAATACCTTTGGATCCTTGTCAAGACAAAATGCCATCAAAGCATAGGCAACATAAACATGGTATGTGCAAGTAGGGGATTTGCGAGCATCTAAGAAATACTTGCGAGCTGCTTCAACACCTTCATTCCTCCTAAGAAAACGAATAAACTGCAGCAAGTAGAAGAATTGAAAGCATTAATTGTAAAATGAATAACAATTATATGGAGTAACATGATATTCTAAGATTTCCTAAAACAACCTTCAAACACTAAAAGGTTATTGACAAAATAGACAACCAAAATGCTGACCATTTAATTTGATAACAGAATGAATAATTATCAGCAGCACAAGAACATGAAGTCATAAACCTTGTACCAACCAACAATCATCAGAGGCACAAGAGCCAGAAGTCTTAAACCTTGTACTAGCCATTTGCCTTAATCATCTAACAGCTTAGATATTAAGAATATTTTGTTAAATTTAAAAATTTTTAAATTAAAAAAAAATGGGTTCATAACACTTGTCACCATGCATCAAAGTCTAGCTTCAGATTGGAAAACACCAAAGAAGAGCAAACAGACATTTAGAGTCACTCAGAGAATTTGGGAAAGATTATATGAACTTTTTGCCAAGTCCCCGGGTGATGGCACTTATAGTCCGTGATCAGCATACTTTGACCACAACAAGCAATTGACAAACTCTCTTTTTTCTTTTAATACCTTAAACTTGAAGAAGGATGTATCTGTCAAGTACACTACATTCACTCACAAGTTCATTGTATTATTTAAACAAGCATTCCAAACAATTCCCACAAATTACCTCCAATCACTAAAAGCTTATTGACAAACTAGACAATCAAAATCTATTCCTGAGTCCTGACTATTGATATGATACAGAATGAATAACCATCAGAGGCACAAGAACTAGAAGTCTTGAACCTTGTACTAACCATTCGTGTTAACCATCTAGCAGCTTAGACATTAAGAATAATTTGTAATAAATAAATAAAGTTCTTAGTACTTGTCACTAGGTTGTCACCTGTGCATCAAAGTCTAGCTTCACATGGGAAAACACCACACAAGAGCAAACAGCTATTCAGAGCCATTAATCCAATTTGGGAAAGATTATTAAAACATTTTGGCTTTTTGCCTAGTTCCCAAGTGATGACACTTATAGTCCATGATCTGCTTACTTGACCACAATAAAGCAATTTGCAAACTTTCTTTTTTCTTTTAATATTTTAAACTTGAAGGACGGTTCTGTCAGGCACACCACATTCATTTATAAGGTCATTACATTATGTAAACAAGCATTCCTTACTTGTATATGTGCTAGTGCAGTAGTATTAACACCATCACCCAAGAGGCTTTCATATAATTTCTTCGCAGACTGCATCAAAAGAGACACGGTTAAAAGATGAAGAGCCCCAATCTCTTCAATAGCCTCAAGGAGAAATGAATAGAGGTTCCCATACTTGGATCGCTCCACGGGATTCCTCCAGCTCTGCATAGGCATACTTCAGCATATCTGAGTCTGAAAATTAAGCATTTAAACACAGGAAAAGAAATTAGAAAAGGTGATAGAGACAAGAGGATAGGGGCTACTTAGTATTTTGGGCCCAGCCAAATAAAAAACTGAAGAATGTGAAGAACAAGAAGAAATATATAAGTATGGTACACAAGAAAAAACCTAATTCAGCCATTGAACTTTGTTGCCAAAAGTTAAAAGTCAAATAGCACTTCATGACAGCTATCAAAAATTAAGCACTTAGATGTTATCTAGGAGTCTGAGGCTGAGCTCTTGTAAAGGCCAAATCATACGGAATTGATCACCTTCTCATCCTTACACAGCCAAAATTGACTTAAATGAATGCTTATTAACATTCTAAATCACTATTATTAATTAAAAATAACTTTTAATAGTCAATTAAAAATTAATTACTAGGTAATAAATTAAATCTTTTAATAACAATTAGTGACAAATATTACTTAATTATCATTCATAAAATTAATAAATTTCAATTAACTAACAAATTTCAAAAGAGAAAAAAAGTAATTCATCATATTTCCAATGCTCCCATTGATTCTAGAGCACAACATTTTTCAGCCAAGAAGTTAAATTTAGCAGTTTTAAAACATTGTTATTTTCATAAACAACCACGCAAACTTATAATTGGATAGGGGGCTTTTGATTGATATCATGAAACTTCAGATGGATTGTATACATTATGAAACCAATAATAAATAACCAACTAGGATTCAAGAAAGTAAAGCCTAAAAATAACACCAAAATTCCTAATAAAATACTCCAAATTAATTAAATTATATAAATAACCCCACAGTGCATTGCATTTCAGAATTATGACTCTATCCCTGACCATAAAATACAAGGAAAGACGGTTAAGTTAGGCTCAAAATTGAAACAGCATCAGTTTGTTTTATTTTATTTTATTTTATCAAATAATAATTAATAAAAATAGCGATCAACTGATAGTACAGGGAGAAAGAAGACATTTCAAGCTATTTTGATGGTTAATTCCATCAAATGGGTTTAGATGATTTGATTAAAACTATAAGGTAGGTCAAACTAAAAGAATGTAAGTCAATTGACAATTCCAGACAAATTTGAGGTACAAATGTTAGGTTTTCCCAGTGAAAAATTCTACAGTTAAATAAAATGGCCAATTACCTGGAAGGGCCTTCACTGCTCGCTGAAAAACCTTGATTGCAGCCTCTGTGGAACCACTTTTTGCATGCCATGTAGCATAGTTGTACCACATATCAGGATAATGGTATAAATACATCAGACACTGGCTAACAATAAAATATGGCAAACATTTGTTATCAAGTCATAATCAATCAGGAGCAACAAAATGCAGCAAGAACCAAAATAAATCTATGAGAGCAATAAGTACAACAAAGCCATGGACTGAAACAGAAAACCGGCTTAAAATCCTTTTTGGTCAAAAAGGCTAAACTAAATTTTATGTCAAAGGGGAGAAAAACCATTAACACAAACTTTAAGAATGAAAAACAGAGTTTTATGGATTCTCTAGTAACATCTAAAATAACTTCCTTATTTTAGACTAAAGTTGCCACTGATTAGAAAGAAATATCCTAGAAAAAGGACTTTAATGGTGAAATGACAATTTGACAAGTGCTTTGGAAATCCTTCCACTTAAAGCTCTTATCAATCACACCATATAATACGAGCAATCAAAGACACCTTTCAGGATACAATAACCATGCTTCATTTAAAATTGATTAAAACCCCTTAGTGCCCTACTTAAGCAAGACTACAGCCTCCTCTTTGTTAAATACAATCTAAAGCAAATCCAACTCAAAAACAATACTACAAAAGTGCAGTAACATTAATAGACATTTTGATAAACAAACAACTAGAAAAAAAAAACTCTAGAATATGGATGCCTCTGACAGAATCTGCAAGCGCCAAACCATACATTTTGATTAGGAAGCCCAAAATACAGAGACTTAGAAGACCCTATCTAAAGTAAAGAAAGGACGGTGGATTCCAGGGTGGGAAAATTTTATGAGTCTATACAATTTCAAATCTCTCACTAGAGTCCTGTGTAGTGCAGAGATTATGTTACATATATAAACTGATATCCATGTGGCTAATTATTTGGCTACCTGTTCATAGGTGAATATAATTCGCTTGTTAGAGGATGCAGCATCTATCCTTTGAGGGTTTCCCCTGAAATGAAGTCATATTCAAGAAGTTAAAATTTAAAATAAAATATGTATACCATTACAACATTCCTAGCTATAGATCCACATTTAGTGCACAGGAAAATATGTACTACCTCCCAATCAAATGATAATATAAGTAATAAATGCGGATTATCCATTCCAAAGTTTACCACCTCTGATATCATGTTTTCCAATGGGCTCAGGTGTACTTAAGACAATATTTTAAGTAAAACCCAAGGAAGAAAATTTTTAAATAAGAAAAAAGAATGATATGATAAGAAAATGTTTGGTTTCCAAATTTGAGTGCATAGGAAAATAAAGAACCCCATCCAACCGAATAATAAATTTGAGTAATATATATGGATTATCTGTTTCAATGTTTACCACCTCTAAATTTGGGTTTTTGAATGGGCTCAGGTGTATTCAAGGCAGTATTAAGCGTAAAACCCAAGGAAGAAGACAGTTCTTAAACAAGAACAGTGAATAATACAAAACAGCTGTCAGCTTTAAATTTGTCCTAGTTGGTTTTTATTCCTAAAGATTAAAATACACAGTACCATGCATACTAGTTTCACCTAATTTCCTAATTTTTAAAAGAACTAGGATCCACTTACACACAAGTCTTACATACCACAATTACCCCAAATCTTGACCATTCATCTCTTAACTTTCAATGGTTGAGATTTATTCACTTTTTATCATATTTATTAAAGGTAATTATCTTTTTCATCTAAAAAATCAACCACTGAAAGTGGAGAGATAAATGGTCAAGATTTTGTATAACTATGGTATGCAAGACTCGTGTGTAAGAGGATCCTTACTCTTTAACAATATATTCTCCACTAGATTAACAATATATTCTCCACTAGAACTAGAATAATGTCAATCACTTAAACACAGAACAATTCATCTATCATATTTTAAGAATTTTTTACCACCACAAACCAAAAGCAATACAATATGCTTTTCTTCTTACTTTTCAAAGCTTAGAAGCCTCTTCCATGCCATCCATTGTTGCTCTTCCTGGTGTCACACAATAAAATATTACATAATGACCATGATTAAAAATAACAAAAGAAATGTTTTTGAGAAATAATTTATAGAACCATGTCTGCAGAAATGAGGGCATAGCTCTCTATTGTTGAAAACATTGCAAAGCAAGCAATACACATGTAAAAACCTTGTCATAACTATTTTGTTCTAATTTTCCCTTTACAGACATTTATGAGTCAAATAGTCCAGCTTAAAGGCTAGTTGGAATGCAAAAATAATTCTGAAGACCAATAGCTATGGTTACTTCAAGCTGAAATAACTAAAGTCAATCAAGAATGGTAGAACAGAAAATTAATTAGTCAATTAAGTATATAAAATGATACGTTATAAGACTAAGGCTTCATTTAACAATGCTTTGCACAAATCTTTTTCACATAGCACCTTATCTAAAAATGTAAATTTATTAGGATTTTTCTTAATTGCATATTTTCACAATTAATTTATATAGAAAAAATAAAAGTTAAACTTTAAATTTATCAACTATCCAATTAAAATCATCCAAATGAGATTGGTGTTAAAAATAATATCTTAATTTTACATTTTCCTATAAAAATTTATTACAAAATAGTATAATTAATATGCCTTAGAAAAACCAAATTTATAATTCTTCATTAATTTTAAATAATTTTTATATACTTTTACTAATTTTAATTAATATTTTATATATTTTTGTATAGTAAAATACAAAAAAACCCTACAACTACAACCACAGCACAGCACAGCAAGGACTAGACTAACAAACAAAGCCTAATATTATATCTGCCTCTTTTGAGGGCAAGCATATACCTCTCAAATCTGAGAGGGTGTGTATTTGACATCAAATCTAAGAGGTTCTATTCACCCTCGTCCTTGTCCAATGATAAGTCTAGAAACACCTATTTCATTCTCTTGGCTACCACCAATATTTAAAGGTAAGAAGTCAATTCATCCTATGCACATACTAACAATAATCACAAAGAAAGTAAGTTGAAAGAACCACTTGGAGATATTGGAAGAATATTTAACTTAGCCTCTTAAAATGTTTGCATTTAACTTCCTAGCATTGCCTCTTTTGAGGGCAAGCACATATCTCTCAAATCTAAGCGAATGTGTACTTAACATCAAGTCTAAGGGGTTCTACTCGCCCTTGTCCATATTAGAGGATAAGTCTCTAAACACCTATTTCATTTTCTTGGCTAACACCAATATTTAAGGGTGAGAAATCAATTAATGGTATGCACATACTAATACTAATAACAAATAACGTCAGTGCTTGTAAGAATCAGTTGGAAGTATTTCAAGGATATCAGTCATAATTTAAAAATAAAAATAATAATAATAAAAAAAGAGAAAGAAAAATGAATAAAAAAAGAAAGAAATTACCTTGGAAGAGCCAGTTGGAGGTACTGCAAGCATATTCCAGTCAATTTCATCTACGTATTTCTTTCGTTCCCTATATACAGCCCTAGCACTGTTATACTTCGGTTGATATTCAGATATAAGTCCTTTTGCCTGATTGGAAAAAACAAATTCCTCTCCTTAGAAGGTTATATGAAATGAAAATGCATGCTTGCATGGTTATACATATGACAATCCTGAACAAAAGGTTAATCACTCATCTCATCTTATACAGAATCAATATCTCACCAAATAATTGGTACAAAAAGTTGCCTAGTGTAATGTCTAAAAGAAAAAGCAAGCAAAGCACAGAGAGAAACCCATTCAAGCCCAAAAGGTTACCAATTGACGGCTGACAGAATTTTCAAAATTCTCATACTCCTTCCATAGTTGTTCAATGTGATGGGTTGGAGTAAGAATAGCTTTTTGGTAAGCCTTCCGAACTGCAGTCATCCGTTGTGACTCTTCCTGAGGGCTTGTAGCCTGTAAGACACTCACACACTAAGAACAAATGTCACATGACAAAGAGGGAAAATGGGAACTACCGTATATGGAAAAGGCCAGGAAACAATTTAACAAACCGGTAATAATTTTAAGAAGGTGATATACTCCATCCATACAGGCCCAGATGCTATATCCACTCCTGGTAATGAATGCATCAGAAATTAACAGTTAGGTTCTCTTAAATTAGGGATATAATCCAGTCCACTGCATGAAAGCTTCCCCTTCACTTAGTTAAGCTTGCATAAAGTCTAAGTTGGTTTGCTTCAATTTGCAAATCAATTAGTAAGAAACCATAGTTAAAATATATGCTGCTACCCCAAAATTGCTTCCATGGTCACTGGCTACAGCAATTCCTCTCAACCTCTGTAACTCAGGTTTGTTGTTGAGAGAAATATAAAATACAAAGAAACAAGGACATGCTCAAGTCCATAAACTTAAACTGATGTTCATACAAGATTGTTATATCCGAAAGTTGATTTGATTTAATATTTATTCTACACAGTTATAGACTGATCTAAAAATAGATGCAAGTTACACAAGTAAATAGATCCCTGGTCTTTATCTTTTTTTTTTGGGCATGATCCCCCCTCTCTACTTTAAAACATAAGGTTTGCAAAAATGATATCTCATCTCAATGTTAAAGCACCACTCATATCCTTGTTAATGTTATAAGGAAACAACAGACACCACAACTAACAAGTCAACATCTCATAACAGCCAACTGCAGAAAGCAACATACTGAAACTTTTGAAAGATTTAGGCTCTGTTTAGTACAGCTGTAGTTTTTGGTTTTAATTTGTATATATTTAGCAACTAGTAAACTAAATTCTGATTGCAAAATAGAGTATTAGTTAATAATAAAAATATAAATAAAACTAAAAACCAAAAAACCACTAGTAAACATAGCCTTAGTTTCTCAA